TATATATATATATATATATGTACAAGTTAGTATTTTATTATTTTCACAATTAAATTATTGTTTGCAAAATTATCAAATAAATAAGATGAAACGGACAAATGAGAGCTAACGCGCTAGATGAGGGGCGCCAAAAATATATTATTCCTTGTATGTGTAATTGGGTTTATTAGACGTTTCGCGGTCCAAATATTGGACCATTTTTAGTAATTGTATATAAATACAAAAATAAAAATAAATAAAATCAGAATATGAAAGAGACTTATATAAAAGGAGCGGGCGTATGTACTTTGACATAGTATAAATAATGTTAGGAGCGTGTCGAGCGAGCCGCATTTGTTAACAGTGACAATACTAATGATATGTGAATTTTCGAAACACGAAGATTACGATCGATATATAAACAGACATACATAATATTGCGGTGTCTTAAATTTTTTTCAATTTGTGTATTATTGATAAATATCTTTTGTCTATTTGATTTGTATCGTTGTGGAGTTAAACTATTTTTTTGTCATTTAATACAGTTTAAATCTCCACAACAATATAGATCAGTTAAACAAAAGATATTTACCTATAATAGACAACTTGAAAAAATGTAAACTATCTTTTCGTCATTTAATAAAGTTTAAATCTCCACAACAATACAGATCAGTTAGACAAAAGATATTTATCAATAATAGACAACTTGAAAAAAATTTAAGTCATCGCAATATTATGTATGTCTGTTTATACCTCCACTGTGTAACCTTCGTGTTTTGAAAATTCACATATCATTAGTATTATCACCGTTGACAAGTGCGGTTCGTTCGACACGCTCCTAACATTATTTATACTCCTATGTCAAAGTACATACGTCCAAAGTACATACGTTCTTCTATGTAAGTCTCTTTTATATTATATTTGTATACAATTACTAAAGATGGTCCAATATTCGGACTGAACGTCTAATAAACACAATTAATTACACATATGAGAAATAATATATTTTTGGCGTTCCTCATCCAGCGCGTTGACTCTCGTTTGCCTATCTCATCTTATTTATTTGTGGATATTCATTATTTAGAGCTTAATATACTAAGTTATCTTAAAATTATTAAAATTGCTTATAATTTATGTATATATACAGGATGCTAAATTTCAAACGTAACAGGCCGAATATCTCGATAACTAAATGAAATGTCGAGGTCCGGTTTTTTTTACGCGTCCATCCAAAGTCAAATTCTTTTTATCAAAATCTGTCCGCCTCGAAATAATACAGCTTAAAAAAATCGGACTTCAATATTTCATTTAGTTATTCGGCCTGTTATGTCTGAAATTTATCATCCTGTATATATATAGGATTTAGAAATAATTTTAAAGAATCTTTACGAGTAAAAATTTTGTATTTATATCTAAATGTTATGACTGTATATATACCTATCATTTCCTTTCCAACGTTCTAATTTTGGAGCAGTAATGTTGCACAAAGTAATTGTTACTTCAGGTGGAGGACCTCCCATAGGCTGTCCACGGATAACAACAGTATCTCCAGATGTCACCTTTGGAAGGAAAATTTAGCGTCATGAAAAAAATCTAGGTACTCCAGAAATATTTAACACTATATGATTTATTGAATGAGAATATTTATTACGCAATTGTTAATAATTTTCATAGAACTTTTCCAAGTTATAACAAACTCTTAGCAAAAATATTTGACTAAAGAAGTAAAGAGAGTAAAGGAAGAGATAAGGAAGCAAAATAAAAACATTATATTAAGTATTCTCATTAATGTTTTACAAATATGTGATACAATGCTTCAAAGCACATGGAACGTCACCAGGGTTGCCAGACTTCAGTTTTTAGTCTTTAGACGAAAAATAGAAAAACTCCCAACCGTTCTCAATCAGATTTTTTTTTCTTTTTTGTATACATTCCTACAATTTCACGTTTCTGACCACACTATTTATTTTGTAACCATCATTTATGTGCTTGTTTGATTATGCAATCTTTCTTTCTTTTTTTTTAGATAATCTCTGGACGAGCCATTATACCGACCTGACAACCCTGAAAATGCCGCTAAGATGATACTTCAGATATCGTAACCATATGTTCTATAGCCTGTTTCCTGCCAGCTGGGCGAGCAGACAAGAAGTCAACATCACACGGCGGCAATAACGAGTCACAAGAATCGCTGACGAAACACGCGTGAATTCATCGCAATAGGCCGGCATGATCCGCGGTGTGAATTCTCACCTGTTTCACCACTCCATTTCTCAATTTTACTGGTGCCTGAGGTGCGCTCATGATGCGTTCCACAATGTTCTCCGAAGAAATGGAATTTCGCAGTTAACGTCGATTCTATTAGCGCTCCACTCGTGCGCTCTCGGATCCAATTATGTATAGCTGCAGCTCGAGTTCTGTGAGATAATTTATCGCTCCTCTTGTGTATTATTATTAAAAATACGCGAGACTACGCTCAGGAGTAAATTGACATGTTGGGCTGTAATACGGTCAGAGAAGCAAAGACTGGCGGTCACTCACGCTTTCCACGTATCATGCGGAGTAGTAGTTGTCCGGCACGAGCGCAATCTACATCAAAAACACGCTGAGAAATTCGTTTGATTTGGTGGTGATGTGGCAACACGCGACATACAGCACGCGGCACGGTGTCGCACCCTATGCTGCGACTTCGAGCTTCGAGCTTCGAGCTTCGAGCCTCGAGCCGTCGAGCACGAGAAGAGGTAGCGAGAAATTGAATCGAAATGATCGAAATCGTATGTAGATCGAACGAATCATTTCTTTTAACTGCATTATCAACGACATTATTATTAAAGACGACCAACCACGAACAATTTTCGTGACTATCAAGGGAGCTTACTAATTCTATTTTTTTTAATCAAAAAAATTTTTTTTTTATGCTTTCTAATAAGAAAATAGGATATCCTTCGATCCTTTTTTCAATGCCCGAATATATATTTAATTTATAATATATATTTTATTTCGTTTCAAATGCAAAGAATTCTAGGAAGTGCGAGTAAAACGAACAGACCTTCGATATCACACAATTGGATATCAAATAGAGAACTTTGAAGGCTTGAAAATTTTTCTACTTGGTAGCCAATTGTGTGACATTATGTTTATATATATTTCTTGTTAAAAAGCTCCCTAAACGTGAATATTTTAGCTTAGTCAGCTATTATTCTATTATTGAATATATCGATCTTTTATATAGCTGTTTGAAGAATAACAAATACGAAATGTTTTACCCCATATCAAATCTACTATTATGTCACTGACAATGCTACTTATATTCACAATAGAGCGTAGAGAGTTTTCCTAATACACGCTAATAAAGTTGACAGACTTTAGTAATATTAATAAGTGAAAACAATCTAATTTATCATCGCACATATCAGTCTTTAATATCATTTCAAACTCACAAAATCTTCATATACAGACATGTATAATTTTCATTCATTCGTTTTTGAAATGAACGAATTAAATTTTAAGTACAATTTTGTGTGTGATAAGTTTGGAATTTATATTCTCTTAGTGAATGTATTAGCCATAGATATTAAAATTATCTTTAACAAGCTTTCAACTAAAATATTATAAAAATTTCGACATATCTATAATATATCTTGTTTAGCATTGCAATGAGATATGAACACTAATAATCGTATGGTATTTCAGTGTAATTATGTGAACAGTATAATTTTTTCTCTTATCTATTACATTTTTCTATATATCCTACGATGATTATATTCTAGCGCATGTTCTTTGACTTGAACAAAGAAATGGAAAAGATGGGAAAGATGCAATCACCAACGAGGTGATATAATAATAAATATTTTAATATTTGTATCTTTTTATCTTCCACATAGAATTCTATAAATAGTTGTAAACTTAGAAAAACATGATATTTAATCATTTTATTGATGGAAATATTAATGCTATTTATAAAGTTTAAAATATCCATAATTTCCTCATCAAGAAAGGGAAAAATAAAGCATACTTAATATTTAAAGCATAATTAAATAGAACAATCTTTCTTATTTTTCTAGTTTTAAAATCCATAGAAAATGAGACTTTTACTTAATCTTAAAGTAAAAATTTTACTTAAGTTTAACTTGAAATTAAGTTTAAAATAAAAGAATTTTTACTTGAAAATTGTTATTTAATTTTACTTTAATTTTTCTCATTTTCGACGAGAAAAGTATTTTGTAAGAATATTTTGAACTTTAAATAGAATTAATATTTATTTAATATTTTTTTTTGTTTTTTAAATACAAATTTATATCTGTTTTTCGAATTTATATCTATTTGTAGGATTCTATGTGGAAGATAATAAAAAGTTGCAATATCTTATAACTATTTTCATGTTAAAAAAAAAAAAACGCTAAATATTTTTTTGTATTTTTTTATGGATGGATGAATCTAAATAAGAACTTAATACATAAATCTTAATCTACTTCTTCCATCCTCGACGCTTCTTCCGCATCACCCTCCAACGTCGGTACTTCCGTCTCCATCTTTTCATCTTCGGGAGTCGGCGTATCCTCATCATCAAAGCCCAAACCGAGTTTGATCATCCTGTATATTCTGGATGCGTGAACCTGAGGATCCTCGAGGGCGAAACCAGATGACAGGAGAGCAGTCTCGAACAGCAACATGACTAGATCTTTAACAGACTTATCGTGCTTATCAGCTTCAGCCTTTTGCCTCAAATTCTCCATGATAGGATGATCGGGATTGATCTCCAAATGCTTTTTCGCGGCCATGTATCCCATGGTGGATGTATCTCGGAGAGCTTGCGCCTTCATGATCCTTTCCATATTCGCCGTCCAACCATACTGTGACGTGACGATACAGCAAGGCGAATCGACCAATCTGTTGGATACAACTACCTTTTCGACTTTTTTGTCCAAGATATCCTTCATGACTTTGCAAAGGTTCTCGAACTTGGCCTTGTCTTCCTCGCGCTTCTTCTTTTCCTCCTCATCCTCTGGCAATTCCAAGCCCTCCTTTGTGACTGATACCAACTGCTTTCCATCAAATTCCTTCAACTGCTGGACGACGTACTCATCAATAGGTTCAGTCATATAGACGACCTCGAAACCGCGCTTCTTTACGCGCTCCACAAATGAGCTGTTGGCGACCTGCTCCCTACTCTCGCCAGTGATGTAGTAAATGTGCTTCTGGCTATCTTTCATCCTGCCGACGTAATCTTTAAGCGAACACATTTCGTCACCAGATGCAGAAGTGTGATAGCGCAGCAACTCTGAAAGCTTCTTCCTGTTTTGGCTGTCCTCATGGATACCCAGTTTCAGATTCTTGCTGAATTGCTCATAGCACTTCTTATAGTTCTCCTTATCCTCCGCCAATTCTTCAAAGAGCTCCAAGCACTTCTTAACAAGATTTTTCCTGATAACTTTCAAGATCTTATTCTGTTGCAACATTTCACGAGAGATATTCAAAGGCAGATCTTCGCTGTCTACAACACCTTTGATGAAGTTCAGATACTCAGGAATCAAGTCTTCGCAGTTGTCCATGATGAAGACACGTCGTACATACAACTTGATGTTGTTCTTCCTCTTCTTGTTCTCAAACAGATCAAATGGTGCACGACGTGGAATAAACAGCAGCGCTCTGAATTCCAACTGCCCCTCTACAGAGAAATGTTTCACAGCTAAGTGATCTTCCCAATCATTGGTCAAGCTCTTGTAGAATTCACCATACTCTTCCTGCGTAATGTCATCTGGATTCCTTGTCCAGATTGGTTTCGTCTTGTTCAATTCCTCGTCTTCAGTGTACTTCTCCTTGATAGTCTTCTTCTTCTTCTTTTTCTCATCTTTGGGTTTATCCTCTTCCTCATCCTCACCGACATCTTCGATCTTTGGCTTTTCGTCTTCAGTCTCGCCCTCCTTTGCAGGTTCCTCCTCCTCATCCTCGCTCAGTTCCTTATCACGCTCCTTCTCTACAACGAGCTTGATGGGATAGCCAATGAATTGAGAATGTTTCTTTACAATCTCCTTGATTTTTGATTCCTCCAAATATTCCGTTTGATCTTCCTTGATGTGCAAGATAATCTTTGTGCCTCGTCCAATGGGTTCGCCATTGTCAGGACGAACAGTGAATGAACCTCCAGCGGCAGATTCCCACAAGTATTGCTCATCGTCATTGTGCTTCGAGATTACAGTGACTTTGTCAGCCACGAGATACGCCGAGTAGAAACCTACACCAAACTGTCCAATCATGGAAATATCAGCACCTGCCTGCAAGGCTTCCATGAATGCCTTTGTACCAGACTTGGCAATAGTACCCAGATTGTTTACAAGATCAGCTTTGGTCATACCAATGCCACTGTAAAAAAAAAAAAAAAAAAAAAAATTTAAAAATTACTTCATCAATATACATTGTGTACATGTACATCTCTATAGAAAATTGATACTTACGAATCAAGAATTGTCAAGGTACGGTCATTTTTGTTTGGTACAATCTTAATGAACAGTTCCTTGCATGTATCCAGCTTGGATGGGTCTGTGAGAGATTCATATCGTATTTTGTCCAATGCCTAGACAAATTTATGAAAAAATTAGTACTGTATTATTAACAAGGTTCGATTTTTCATTACACATCGAAATTTATACAAATATTTTTAATAATGCTTTTCATAAACTTCCAAATATATATAATAAAAAAGAGAATGTTCTCACAAAATTTTCTTTCGGATTAAAATATAACTACAACGCGTTTATCAAAATTTAATAAAATATAAAATTATCACGTGCATTAAAATAATTTCGAGTAAAGAAATGCGAAAATGGGGCACGATGATCATTGATTTTTTTTTTTTTTTTATCGATAATATATAAGCCACTTACATCGGACGAATTGGAGATCAATTCTCGGATGAATATTTCCTTGTTCGAGTAGAAGGTATTAATAATCAGGCTCATCAACTGAGCGATCTCGGCCTGGAAGGCGAAGGTCTCAACATCGTTAGCATCCGCCATGCTTACGTCCTCTGGCATCTTTTTCAGTTTATTATTTAACTGATGTTAGACAGATGTTGATCACAGCTGAATTAAAAGCACACGAATGCACTTGCGTCGTAATCGCAGTCCTTATTCGAGAAGAAGACGAGCTCGACGAGAGAAAATTTCCTTGGAGCAGCGACGCGTCCTCCACGCGGTCACTTTGAAGAGTATTGAATAGTGGCGCGCAGCAGCTGCTTTTATCGAGTCCTGAAGATTCTAGAATGTTTGAGAACGGAAGCCCGCCCGGCTTCTAGAAGCTTCTATCAAGTTAGCTCCTCGAGGCCGTTTGGGGGCAGGAAATTACGACGCTAATGTTAATTATATTGTTGCACAATTTCGAGAGTCAATTAATACGACACGTCGCGTGTAATTTTCCGAACAACGCGCGTTCGCTTGTATCGATTCGTAGCTTCAGTCCCGCGACTAGCGTGGTAACAGGAAATGACGACATCTTCCTGGCGTCTAGAACCATCGCGATAGCTCGAAACATGCTTTTCGAATAAACGTTCGGGTGCGAGCGCGTGCGCGGCGTTGCCTGTGTGTCGTCTGTGTGCGTGCGTCCACGCACGTGTAATCGACCGCGTTTTGGCGTTCAAGGATTCCAGTATTTTCTGTTTAACGTATCAAGGAATCATCTAGGCGTTTCATACGCTTTGAAAACGCAATCTTGCATTGTCTGAGAATATTTTTTTACCCAGACTTTTTTTGTCAAAGAATTCAGAGACTTATCAGAGAATTTTTTATACATGAACGTAGGTGAAATTAATTTATTTTTGCATAGTAATTAAGTTATGATTCATGCAGTTTTCAAGCTACATATTTATATGATTATTCACGAGCATCCTCGCGATTCCTGATATTTCATATATTTCTCGAAAACAGTTTCTATTTTATTGATACGATCGACCTTGTGGCATTTCTTTATCTCTACATAATAAATATTTGCCATGAATTGTATTTATTCTTGACATGTATGCGAATTGAGTCGAAACGTTGATTTTATTACGGCACATTGAATCATTTACTTCAGTAACGAAAGTATCAGAATTAGATGTACACGGAGAGAGAGTGTGTCTCATCGTTTATGTTTATGCATATTTCACGTTCCATTGTTACGTAGCATCCGTGTGAACGCGTTTTTGCAGATTCATGGATCCCGGAATACTTTCCAGACTGATCCCTCAGAACAAAGAGCATGTACGACCCGCCTGCAAAAAATGCGGATACGCCGGACACTTAACCTATCAATGTCGCAATTTTATCAAAATCGATCCCAACAAGGAGATCGTGCTGGACGTCAGTAGCACGAGCTCGGACAGCGACGAGAATTATGTAACCCCGTTGACAGAATTACGGGAACGTGAATTGAAGAAGAAGCTGAAGGAGGCTAAGAAAAAGCGCAAGGAGAAGAAGTCCAAGAAGAAGCGTAAGAAACGCGAGAGGTCGGACAGCAGTGACAGCGAGTCCGAGTCAGAAGCGTCCAGCGAGGAAGAAAAGAGACATAAACATAAAAAGAAAAAGAAAAGCTCCAAACATAAGAAACGTAAGAAGCATAAAAAGGACAGTTCATCCGAGAGCAATGAGGACAGTGATAAAAAATAAATTGTGATCGTGAGTTATGAGCCAATCCTTCCAGTTCATTCCAATTTATTCTATCATTGAATATTAAACGTTGAATGATTATGACTTTTTGTCATTATATATGCATCTCCTTCTTACATATACTGACTCAGCACATGTAACACGAATATTTTTCCATATATAAAAGACGAAGAATACGTTTGTAATATTTTGATGTAAACTCTTTCAGTGATTGCCTCAAAAACTGCATCTATCCTACAAAATATCGATTATTTCACGAAAACGTGCTCTTTTACATTTTTCATCAATTTATTTTAATCTCATTGATCTCTAATTGTAAATTTAATTGACCTTTTTTTCTTCGTATTTCGAATTTACAATAAAGGCGACATGACAATAGGCAAAATAAACGGATTTTTATTCGTCTTGCTTGGACTCCGTACAACATCATGGTAATCTGTTTTCTAGGCTCATGGCGGCTGAAAGAATCCAAGCATCGGATTGGTCTACGAGCTAAAATTACTGCACGTGTCAACCAATCGGGTGGATTTAGATGACGCTACGCCATTTTTTATTGATCCGCTATATTCATCATCACATACTGCTCGAGGAAATATAGACAAAAGATTTTCTTGAAGGAGAGAAGAATTATTTTGCGAATTATTAATAACAATGACGCGACATGCGAGGAATTGTACTGCGGGTGCAGTGTACACGTATCACGAGAAAAAGAAAGATGCTGCGGCATCAGGTTATGGTACTAACACTCAACGAGTGGGTAAAGATTCTGTCAAGGATTTCGACTGCTGTTGCTTGACTCTACAACCTTGTAGGAATCCAGTAATAACGTACGTATCTTATGGAATATATATATTTGCATATTTCTGCTTAGGTGAATATTTTTGTCATAATCTATGTTGTTGTTACAGAAAGGATGGCTATCTATTTGATAAAGAGTCGATACTGGAATATATTTTGACTAAAAAGAGGGAATATACAAGAAAATTAAAGGAGTATGAAAAGCAGAAGCAGAAAAAGGAGGTGAGCAAGTTGTACGGTCATTAAAAAGTTTAACTAGTTAATACAGTATTTATATTGTTATTGATATATTTGTTACAGGAACAGTTGCAAGAACAAACTGCTAATGAAGAATTGAAGAAGCTGCAGAATTTTCTGAAAGATGAAAAAACTATTGTATCAAATGGTTTGAGCACAACGGACGGAGTTTCTGTATCTAATATGAAAAATGGCAAAGACAAAGTGTTACCAAGCTTCTGGATACCTTCTAAGACACCGGAAGCAACGGAAACCTCCTTACAGAAGCCTGACAAGACTATCTATTGTCCTGTCAGTGGAAATCCATTGAAAGTGAAAGATTTGATTCCTATAAAATTCACACAAGTTAAGGATCCAGATGACAAGAGATCGCTTATCGTCAAACAAGCACGATACATGTGTCCCATTACACATGACATCCTGGGCAACAATGTGCCTTGCGCTGCGATAAAGACAACGTAAGGGAAATGAATTTCTACATTCTTTTACAAGTCGCAAATATTAATTTCATTATGTTATTGCTGTTTAAATATTTTTTGTTTATAGCGGCGATGTGGTCACTATGGAATGTGTGGAAAAATTAATAAAAAAAGACTGGATTAATCCCTTGGACAATTCTAAACTAACGCCATCTGATATTATCCTTTTACAAAGAGTAAGTAATATAAATAACATATAATATTGAGAGCATTAATATATATATATATATATAATTAAAAAATATATCCACGTCTGTCATTTCTCAGGGTGGTACTGGTTATGCATCTGTTAATGACTCATTAGAGGGTAAGCACGAAAGACCGGTGTTGCAGGCGTGAGGGGCAATTTGTATAACTTTATGGTAAATAAGTTTTTCAGGTGTAATTAAGGATGTACAAATTTGAATGTAGATAAAAATCTGCAAATTAATTAAGCATTAATTATTATTTATGTATTTTATTTAATACATTTATTTTCAAATAAAATATGTTCAAACATTACAAGCATTAGCGTTCTTATATATATATATATTGGGTATATATATATGTTTGAGAAATATGATATAATTTAGTTCAATTAATAGTATATAGGGAGCACATTGTAAAATACACGAATGTATATACATATAAAACATATAATGCTATCATTAATATGCGCGATTTTATGGGATAATATTTATGAGAATATTTAATTGTTAAAATTCAAATTTACATTAAGAAAAATACAAATCATCTCGGGATCTTGTGCACTTGACTAAAATAAAATAAATATACATTCAGGCAAAGAAGATTCCGAATTGATTTTCTTTTACACACAGAAAAAAAAAGGATTAAAATAAAGTATAGAAATATCAAATTATAATTTTATCATAATGCTGATCGTTTCAATATTTTCATATTTGTAGCGACAAAATGGAGTTATATGATGGAATGCGTCTGAAAAAATATCATAGAAAAAAAACGAGCTGAGAGAGAAAGAGAGACTTTCGAAGAAACCCTTCCTCCCCATCTTTCACCGAATAATTCCAGGATGTCGGCGTGCTTTGAAGTCGGCGGCGGACGGGGACAGTGGCGCCATCTCGGTAGAGGAGAAACACGCGCGCTCCGCCGGGTAAGCGGCAATCTTCGAGACGACGGTTGGACGATTCGTTGGTCGGATCGGCGCGCGCGTTCGAAAGACGGTGCGTTACGTGCGTGCGTGTATTTTCGCACGGTTTCGCGCTCAAACGTTACGGAGCGCGAAAGCGAGCTTCGTCGCCGGTGTGTCATGTGGATTTACGCTGCGCGGAGGACACTCGGAGCGATTCGGGAACACCGAACGGCGACATCGACGACGGCGGTGAGGTGAGTGCGTTCCCCGCGTTCAACTTTCGCGATTCCCGGAACGGGAATCGGCGGCGGCCCGCGAATCATCGCGACCCGAGTTATCGCGCGACGCAAAAGTGCCTCCGGCGCGTGTGTCCATTGTTCGCAATAATAAAGTTACGCGGAAGCAGTTTTATTCGCGGAATCAATCTCGGAGCGCGGCGACGATTTTCCTTCGCGTTTTCATCTATCGCGACGGATAATTATGATACTCGCAGCCGACGATATAAATACGTAAGTAGGACATGTAAATACATCGATTGTGTGGGATATAAAGTAGCCGGGGTGGAAGAGAATCTCGCGAGCGCATTTAACTCTGCATAATTTGATTATCCGTACATCGTCAGCTGTTTTATACACGCTGATATATGTGACAGAAGCTTCTGAAAGATATTATAAAAGCCCCGTTAAAAGGAAACGTTCTGATCCTTCAAGATGGCGTTTTTTTTTCGCGTCTCTTTTTTAAACATCTTTTATTTTAAACTTTCGCGTTCAAAACATTTCCTTATATATCAATTCGCAATCTTGACGCAATTTTAACAGAATCAACGTTTCTGGCGAATTATATTCATCGGTCCCTTCTTTCTTTCGAACAACTGCGAAGTTAGTCGAGTAAAAAAAAGCGCGGGAAAGCGCGAGTTCTCCGCGATAGCGAGACAACACGAGTATCATCTGACATGACACGTATGACACGCACGTAATGGACAAGATCGAGCGAAACAATTCGAAATCAACTTCCACGATGCCGTTCGTTCTATCGATTGCGCAAAGATATGACGTTCGGGGTATTTCTTTTTAATACGTCGCTCGACTGGTGCTTATCATCCGTTCAATTTGCAAACCCGCGCAATTGAAGCGAGCGAGCGGTTC